TTTATGCAGCAAGGCTGCGAGAAAGGCAAAAACCACAAATGGTAGATTTAGCAGCTCTGCAGCACGTTGAAAACCCAATCACCACGTATGATCATTGAAGATCATCAGCACCTGCTGTGGGCCAGGTGCTGATCATCAGCACCAGCTTCTGCAGAGCCACAGGTGCCTCACATCCCACTTCCAGATCATTTCTCTCCCTCTTGTTCCCGTTTCTCTGTCCACCATTTCCAACATAATCACTCAGCCCGACCGATAAGGAAGCCACTCATCCACTTCGAAACTTCTAGTATGAACAACTTTCTTTGAAAGAGCAGAGAAATTCTCCCCCAGATCACACCCCAGTGTCACTTATCCAACAGGGTAACCGCACTCAGCTGGATGCCCTCAAGACATTACTCAGCTTTCCTCAAAAACTGCTAACGGCAAGAACTGTGATAAAATACACAACACAGACTAAGACCACCAGTCTAGACCAAATAAGAAAAAGAACGTTAGTGACTCATATCACTGTCTTACCTGGAAATCAAATCAGTGATTTGTAACTTATGAATAATTCTCTTTTCTTACAGTTCACCTGAATCATTCAGGGTCTACTCACAGTATTTAAATTTTTATTTTTACTTTTTTTATTAAATATGGGGTTTGGGGTGGGTGGTTTTTTCCAATCTTCTAAAGAAACTAAGCAACAGAACTCTGCATTCTCTAACAGTAATGGTTTTTATGCCTAGTTAACTGATTCAATACATGTATATATTTTCCTATAGAAAAAGATGAAGCTGCCTCATTTAAAGGATGTTGGAAAGAGGTGAAACCTCATAAACCTTATTTACCAAAAAGTGCTGTAAGAAAGCTTACCCATTTCTTAATATAATTTAATTTTACATGCATGAATGTAAGATACTCAGACAAGATGTTAACTTGCCTCACAAGCCCACATGGGCTTCTCTACCAAAATCAAGACACAGAGCTTAAAAGCGGTCACAACCTATCAAAATATTTTGCAAAATATTTTGCATCTTTTTCTGCTAACACTAACTAACCCTCTGATATTCCATAAACTTTTTGCCTTTTGCTGGCCTAATGACAGAGAGAGAAACAAAATGCAAAAGCTTTCCTTTCTCCTATAAATTTGGTGTTTTGGCCTGTCAGTCCAATTGTTCTCCAAGACACTTCACTAATTTCTCTGTAACTCCTCTTTCCCAAGATGGGCTCTTGGGAAACTGACCTCTTTTGCACCACATATTGAGACTGGAGAGAGTTTTTCTGACTCATGAGATTGATGGCACAGTATTCTCAGACTACACAAGCTTTTATTTCTGAACAAGCTGCCCTGTGGCATCCCCCTCAGCTCACATCTCCGTGTAGCAGCTCCCACTGACTCGGGCTGCAATTTGTGTGATTTTGTCTTCTATCAGTTATGAATTCTCGTTATTACACGTATAGGCAAATACACAATAAAAGACTTAAGCTTTCTGAAGGCACCTTACAAGACATTTTCATAAACAAACACATTGTGTGCTGCACAAATTATTCAGATCAACTCTTCTTTGTTAGAGACATTCCAATGAGCTCCCCAAAGCAGAGACGGTCTTTGCTGTCTGTATTCTGCTTCTAACAAAGGCAGCTTTGTTCCATCAGAAATGGCCTTGTCATGCACTAGAAGCCTATCTCGGTGTTACTGGAGGGTTTCCATTAAACATGTTCTCAGTCAAAGTTCACAGATGTAAGCTTTAAGCAATTTTTGACTAAAGATAGTATTTTTTACCAGTTCACGTTCTTTAGCTCACCAAACTTTTGTCTGAGCAACCAAAACCACTGATAAGAATAGAAAAATCTGAGTGTAGTTAAGTAAAAGAAATGCTGGTTAAAATGCAGCGTAAAATATAGCATAATGGGACAGATGTTCAATTTTATTACAACTTTATAACAAAAGGATGGATTTTGCTACCTTGAAAGACCTTGAAAATGGGAAGCAATAGTTTGGAGATACCGAGAGAGAGGCTTCTGTTTTAAAATCACTTTCATTATTTACACAACTGAGGTTGTAGAAAGTCAGCACAAAGTTTTGTTAGAGTTTAACAGTATTGCATAACTCAGGAAACAAAATATGTTTTCATTTAAGTTTAAAAATTAGTTACAAATTCTGGTTTTACTCCAAGTTATAAAAAACAAGTTCTTAAACCATTAGACTTTCCAGACAAGAAAGAATAAGATCATAATTTTAGGCTAGTGTGGTATTTTTCCATTCTTTCTTTTTTTTTTCCCCTCCCACTTCCTTTGAAGACTATTAATCAAAAGAGTTGTAAGAATTCCCCTAAAAGTATTGCTCTTCCCACCCCTGTCTCTGCTTTAAATATTTTAAGCAAGAAATTTAAAAGTGGATTCAGAAGGCTTATTCAACCCAGGGAAAAACACCGAACACACAGCTATTCACAAAGCTATACTAGAAAGGTCAGCTGTGTTTTACAGAAATAATACAAAGGAGAGGCAAAATCCGCAGGTTAATTAAACCTTTGATTTCTATTAAAGTATCTAAAAAAGATGGCAACTAGCTCCCCAGACATGATGGTTCTGTGACATCAACATTTGACTAGCAAAACGTGCTCATGATACTTCACCTTTACAATTCATGTTTCACGTAAGGAGAAGCCTTTAAAAAGTACTATTCCTTGAAAATTAGGACTTTGATAACCTGCACTCCCTGACTACACTGCTGTGCTACAACCTTCATTCCTGTGGTGGCTGTGGATTCAGGAAATACCCAACTTCTAGCAAAAGACCTCAACTATAAGAAAGAGAGAGAACGAAATGGAACAGGGGGATGGAGAAACAGGGGTATGTCAAATAAGTTCAAATCTACACCTACGATATCGCTCCTAAGTTAGGTTTGTACTTGACACAGTAGATTAGACTCTCACACATATACTCCATGAAACAAAATCTTATTACTGCATAAATTGTAGAAAACATAAAATGAAACTGCTGCACAACAGATGTAAAACTCCACAGACTCTTCGAAGAAATAGGAGCCAAGAAGGGACGTTACCACGACTGGGAACATGACATTTGAGAAGTGCCACAAAGGTAAATCCAGGTTTAACACTAAAGAATTCAGAACATGGCAATTTCTACAACAAAGGGGACAAAAGAAAGGGGGGTGGGGGGTGAAGGGTAGGGAAGGACTGACTCCAGAAATATTCCTGGTTTGACAGATTCCTTATCCAACCATTAGCCCCATTTCTGAAATGAGGTTCCACTCGGGAACCTCAGCTAAATAGAGATACGTTCCACAGGTAAAGAGAGATACCTTAAAAGTTGTACAGTGCTACTGTTAAGATCAATCAGTATCTTAACTAAGCCATCTGCCTCCTTTAGCCATTGTGCTTGATTTCAAACTAGAAATGAGGTATAACAAAAGAAGCATAGACATTTTTATTTTTGAGTTATGCAGACCACAGAAATCCACCTGCTGATACTGCTATTAACCAGACTAGATAAGAAACAAATTATAACAAAGCAAACCCTCATTAAATAACTTTTTGAAACAAAGTGTTCATAACCCTGAAGTACACTGAGTGCACATACATGTCCCATATTAAATAATGCTGGCAGTAATTATCAGCAATCATAAAACAGACTTTTCAGCACTTGTATTGTGTAAGATACGCCAACATTTTCTTTTCATTAGGCACTATTTGTAGTGTATCTGTTTTTCTTGTGTAAGTTTCTTCAGTACAAAGTCAATAACAAAAAAAAAAGTCACAGCAAATCATCTTTTTAAACGAAATACAAGTCTCTGGTGCCAGGTGCCATGGTGCACACAGCACTGTTCATAAACAGTAAAAAGCCTATGCTGTTTACGTAAAAGATACCATAGTCACACAGTATGCGGCACATTGAGTACTCAGTAGAAAGTAAACAGTGATTCAACTGATTAAGGAAAACACTGGCAAGAGTCAGTTCTTAAGGGCAAGTATGAAACTCTTGCTCAATTTTTAACAGTTTAATAAAGGCAGAGAGTTTAATTTGACAGACTGTAAAGACCAGGTATCAACATTTTGCTTAGGAACTGTTTAGATTTGAAGAATGTTAATTTCTACTAATATGCACCATGTTCTTTCCTTCCATACTAATTTTCACAGAAACTAACACCATGCCTACTCTATTAAATATGAGCTCAAACAGTGTCAAAATGAGTTGGTCAAACTCATGTGCATGTTTGCTGTAATTTCTATTTTCTATCTTCAAACTAGCATGAGTTTTGGAAGAAGTGGTTGGCACTCTAAAATGGTTACCTGAGATTCCAACAAGAAACTTGCTTCTATGTTCATACAATTATTGAAATAGTAACCAGATGTCTCCAGTTCAGCCTACCTGCAAGCTCTCATTACTAAATGAGTACAGCCAGAAAAGTAAACAACTGTTTAAGAATGGAGAGTATTCTGGCACGAAAAGCTAAGATTATTACAAATACAAGCAAGATACCTCATAAAACATGAATTTAGATAAGGCATAGCCTGAGTAGTACTACCATATATCACAGACAGCACTAACCAAAGCTCTACAGTTCAAGGAGTTGCATAAGGAAAATACAATCCAAATAAACAGGGGCTTACTCATATCACAAACAGGCTGTATAGTTAGCAAAATCAAACCTTAGCTGTTTGCATTATATTCAATGATCCTTCAGCACTGCAGAGCACATATACTTCTTTGGTGCTCTCAAAGCACAGAGAATCAAATTCCATTCTAATTTATTTACAGCCTATAAAATCCTAAGACTGCATATTAACAAGTGCAACATTTGACTTAAATTGTCAGGCCTAAATTATTGCTGAAGTTGCCACCTTGCAGCTTTTCCTTCATTTTGTGGTAACAGTAAAGATACTATTTTGTATACTGCATTTCATTACTTGCTTGAAAGATATTCTGACTACTAGTAATCACCCTCAGGTATAATTTAAAAAAAATAAAGAACTTTTTGTACTTTTTACACTTACTTTTTGCTTGCTTCGTAGACATCCGCGATATTGGAGAAAAGGTGATGGCTCTCTGTTTTGGTCATTGTGAGGCTCAATTCCCTGGAATTTTTAAACATCCGGATCAGAATCTCCAAGCTCAGCAAATAAGAATGCTCAGAAGATATCACTTCAAATATCGCCTGCAAAGTGGAGTGAGGAAAAAAAAGACTTACTATTGACTAGGTTTTATTTCTTTTGTGGTTATTTTTTTTTTAAAAAAAAAGGAAAGTATGGAGGAGGGGTGCAAAGAAAAGTTATTGGATATAAACTGGGGATTATAACATAAATATTCGCTTCCACAATAGTTGCATCATTTACTTAGAAATAATTGATTTAGTACTAGAAAAAAAAAAAAGGACTTTTGAAAAGTCTTAGTATAGACTTTTTAAACTGCAACTGCACAGAGTTTGAAGATAAAAACACAACATAGACCGCGATCGCTCCCCATTCATACTCCTAAGAGGTTTGTTTGTGGGTTTTTTTAATTACAAAACACCATGTCTGTTTCCGTGGTCCAGCTGGAAGCTTCCTATCGGTCACACTACTGTTGACCAGCGAGTATTTGCTTTTGCATTTTTTTAAACAGAAGCTGGTAAGTTATTTACTTGTTCTTGGGCAACAGAGCTCTGCTTACCCAAGCATCTGCAGAAAAGCAAAACCCTTTGCAAAATTCAGGTTTTAGTCCTGTATCAGTAGTGCTACCTTGGTTACTGTGAAAACATGAAGTTAGGAGAGGCACATGAGAAGCTGAGCTATCTGCAGCAGGGAGAGAAGCCAGGAGGCAGAGCAGACAAGGGGGGATGGCAGCCACTATCCCCTTTAGTGATTAGTGACCAGACAGGCAGACCTCCAGGACATTCCTTCACCTCCCACAAACAACTTTTCTATTTTATCACCCTACCACTTAAAGAGTGGCCACTGTAACTTCCATCAGCTGGCTGACATACAAAGCAAACTTTTAATGGACTCTTAAGACTTTGAAACCCACATACTTGTTCCACTGGAAATTTTCATCTCTGATATACAAACCTATTCAGCTTTTAGACATCTTCTACCTCTCTAGGCTTCATTTGCTGATAACCTGCTGGAGTTTTTATATGTATATACAACGGAAAAAAGTAAATAATTTTCATGACCCCTTTTGTCACAAGCTTCACCAAGTCACATTTGTCATCCGTGCTATCTTCCAGGCATAGTACCATCAGCAAAGGTAATATTACTTACTCAATATAACTCATATTGATATTTGCATGTATAATTTCATTAGTTATTCGCAACTAACTTCTCTAAGCAGTCTCAAACCAAAGGACATGTACATACTTTAAATGCAACACTGCAGATCTGATTATTTAGAAAGCCCATGGCTCTACAAACACAGAGAAGGTCTTGTAACTGACAGTCTACAGGAGGAGTTCACTTAGATGGTCTGATGTATGTGCTCTAGAGAGACCCCACTCTTCTGTGACCAGATAAAAAGGCAAGGGTGACCACAGGCAGGCTGAAGGCAGGAATACTTTTCCTGAATATTCCCAACTGCCAACTGAGACAAGCCATACTGGGGAAAAAAAAAAACAAACGCAAAGCATTCTGCTGAGGACCTTTGTTTGTAAGATTTCTTAAAGAGCTTAAGTCCAGTGAATTCTGCTGGTGTTACTAAGGTAAGCTTTTGATCAAATACAATTTCTCTTGGGTATCCTGAGACTCAGTGTTCCTTCCTTCCTTCTAAAAAGTCTTCTTCAAAGAACTGAGCAGACTGTGCTTTCAAAATTATTCTTGCCCTTCTAAAAAGTCTTCTTCAAAGAACTGAGATTTTAATAGTGAAATGGTAAGTCTTGGATTTCTTTGAACAAAACAAAACAACCTGCTTTAGCTGAAGCCTTAAAGGTTTATGCCGTGCAAACAAGATTTATCAACTCCACAAAAACCCTACAGGGCAATTCTACACACAAGGAAAGGAAGTCTAATGTACATATCAGCAGTCTCTCCATCTTCTTACCTACCTAAAAAGCTGAAAGGCTCTGGTGAGAGATACAGCAGCAGCCAGGTAACAGCTACAACATTCTACATATTACTCACATGGTGAATGCTGCTGTGCAAGAAGATACGCAAAGGTGATGCTTAAAATACTGTTAAATTGCCTGGCTGCTGCCTCAGGAGCCAAACTCTGGCAGCAAATCTACCTACGCCGTGACAAACAATGTGCAGAAAGTTGCCTAAAAAGGGCATCTTGGCCCTTGCCCAGCAATTACATTTCCAATCTTCAGTCTTATTGTACTTCTCCCAGCTGTGCTCACAAAGAAAGGCTTTACCTAAGGATTGCTGTAGAGTTCCACGGCTAATTGGTTTCTAGCCAGACATTTTTCGACACTGGAAAATATACTAGCTCTCTGATTATTATTATTATTGTTTTAGAGAAGTTTTGTTTGTGCTTTTACTGAGGACCCTCATGCACGTCTTCCAGTTTGGTAACAGAAAGTCATTAGCATAGGCAGAAATAAATGGGACAAAGAAAGGTATTTTGCTTCTAATGTGTAAGGAAGGGAGAGAGTATCATCTTACCATGACCCAAACACATTTCAGAGAATAACAAAAAATAAAAAAGGATTAAGAAACAATTTTGGCTTTGACATACAGTAACTACACCACATTTAGAGGCTGGGGTGGCATTTACCAGGTGCTCGCTAACAGTGTTTCTGAATGACATCTGAAACCATATTGTGGTTCATTTGCATGACATCAAGACATCAAGGTAAGCAGATGTTTGAATCCTGATGGACAGTAAACACTCAAGAGGTCAGATGCATAGTGCAGTCTGTACACACATATGCAGTCAGTTTCCAGCTTGAAAGAAAAGAAGATCTATTGAAAAATATTTTAGTTCAAATCAATCTGTATGACACGTTTTCTTTAGAAAAAAGATGCACACAGATCCATCACATGAATGTGTTCTGAAAGATGGGATGCGTATAAATGCATGCCATTGACATCTAATCAAGGTATAAAGCAAACAAATATATTTTTCTGCAGTGACAATACATTATAATAGCAAAAATAATCTAATGGGCTCTAAAAAGCAATTTAAAGAATAGATAATAATTGATAAAAGGCAATTTAAAATAAATACAGCAAAAGCATGACTTGGTAGTACAACTATATCTTAAGTATATTTATTTAGGCTTCCTCTGAAAGACCGGGCCTCTAATATTCAAATAAAAAAAAAAATATCCCTCAGGCTTGAAAATATTTTTGGTAACATTAAAGACTTTCCATTCAAAAGGCATCTGAAGAACTTGTTCTCTTTGAACGGATGTAAATATGACTCCAGAAAATATAGACTAAAGGCTCCTAAAGGATACAGGACTGAAATAAATGCCTTGTGTCTCAAACGTTTCCCAGTGGGAGGAGAGAGAAAAGCAGAACACGTGGCCTGAACTGCTGCACAGCCTCTTCCCCAAAAAAGCAGAATATAGCCAAAGAAATGTAGCATTACAAAAATAAAACCCCACAACAAACTATTGTCTACATTTCATGTATGCAAAACAAGGTGCTTCTGTATTTCATGTATGAGCACAACAGCTGTAGGTCACACAGGTACATTAACATTTGAGGTTTGCCATATACATCTCTGAACTTCACAGAAAACCCCAGTCAGGTCTTGCTTGGCTACATTCACTGAGGTATGTCCTGAAGTGAAATGAAGATAATTGGAACAAATTACCATGGCAGGTAATGCTACAGTGTTTTTTTCCTGTTGAAGGACATACCTCAAGAACTGCAGGTATATAGCTGGCTAGGTCAGGCTATTCTTTTCAACACCTCTCATTCATTTTGATATAGCCCCTGTAAGCAAGGAAGGAGGGTAAAGCAGATAAAGTGGACAAAAGGAGCAAAGAGGAAGAGGAAAGCGCATAAAGAAGACAAAAGGAGCAAAGGGGAAAGAGACAGAGAGAAAAGATAACTACATCAGTAATTGCTGCTGTTGTCTGCACCGTTGACAGCATGGATGCACCTACTCCCGTTTAGGTGTGAAAGGGAAAAGGTTACTTACTCCAGATACACGGTGCTTGCATGTTCAGAAACGTTTACAGGATTAGTTACAACTAAGGGGCGTTGTAAAAAGCTGTTCTTTGTTCCTCACTGCCTTTAAAAGATTATGTGCCACTTCCTACCATCTGTGAACACAAGGTTAATTTTACACCTTCCCCAGGACAGCATGAAGCAGTGACTGTCTGTTGGATGTAGTCATCAACCCGGCTACGTCTGCTGGAGTCAGAGTACCTAGGAGACACTCCTCCAGCAAGACCCACAGGATATTGGCAGGAGACCCATGGCAGGGACACATGCACATCAGCAACAGACAGGTTGTCTCCCTGGTGAGACAACACACTTCACTCTAGGACAGGAAGCAGTGTGGTGAGCTCCTCCTCCTTATAAACAGAGTATTAAATGAGACATGTAATGCATCCCTAAAGAATCAACAACAACAACAAAAAAACCACGTGTGCTACGTTAAACTGTACCTCCTGTCTTAAAAAAAAAAAGTGTGCTACGTTAAACTGTACCTCCTGTCTTTTTCTTTCTTCCTGGGGGATCGTTTCTGATAATCCATTCTTCTTTACCTAAGAAAAAAAAAAAATTGAAAAATTGTATTTTGTTATTTTGTATTATATTTGTGTTATACATTACATATACATGTAACATATACATGTAACAATATTACATTGTTATTTGTATTATATTTGTAATAATAATTGAAAATTATATTGAAAAAAATCAATAACATCTGACATTTGACTTGTCAAATTTCACTAAAAACTATCCCAGGACACACACACAGCACTACTGCACCAAAAGCACACACAGGTGACTCACAGGCACCCTGCAGGGCACCCCAGACAGGTAGTCTGTGGGCAAAAAATTATTCTGGAGGAGCTCCACTTTGCAGACATGGCAAAGTCCTGAGTAAACACCCCTATATGTCTATCCTCAGCCCTACAATAACACCTCTCCCCACTCTGCACCCTACAGTCAAATCAGCCAAGACAAGTTTGCCCCAGCTCCCCATATACAAGCATCACTAACTCCAGCCACACGTTCCACAGCCTGAAGCCACATGCTTAGCTACCGAATTCCACACCACAGACCCCTGAAGTTTACTCTTTCCTGGTGCAAATCGCATGCATTATGTCATTTAACAGAAAGTGAAGCACCAAGGAGGGACTGACTTCATGCATTTCCTACAGGACCTCAAATCAGGAGGTCACCTGCCTGTGGCACACTGGACCAGGGAAGGGGAAAGAGGCCACTGCACAGCACTACACATGTGAAAGATACTGGACGTGACACCTAACAGATGCACTTTCATTTTCCCATTTCTCTTTTGGTCTTCTCCAAAAGCTCCTAACGTACTATCATCAACAGCTTTCTCTTCTTACTCCACTTGATCTCTGGAATTTTAAAGGATATGTTATTCCTCTTTGTATTCCTGCATACCAGGCACCACAAACATGGATAGCAGGCTCAAGAGTAAAGATGGCACAACATTAAGAAGCACCAAACTTTGGTTTGCATGCACACCAAAATACAAGCACACATGTACATACTTATAAAAATAACACAAATGTTCAAGCAATTATTCTTCTGAGCACAAGTTACAGACTATGTCACCACAAGTATACACTTCTGAATACCACACAAGAACTAATTAGATGCCTTTCTATTAAGCTATTAAAGTACCTTTCAACCAACAACCTGAGACCTTTGTACTTCCTAGCGAGTGCTTTAATGTCACTTCTGGATGCAGTGGAGAACTTTTCTAAAAATATGCTGACACAGGAAATACCTATGAATGTATCCAAGAGATTTCAATGCTTCCTGTTAACACAGCAACTGCAAATTTCCAGTGAGGTCAATGCGGCAACTGCTGTACGCTCACGACCATGTTCATGTTCAAAAAACTGTACCTGTGTTTTGTGTTCATTATTTTGTTGTATATGGGTGTGTACATACTAAGTAAACATGTGAATTCATCATACAAGCAAATGGATCAACCTTCCATTCTTAATAAGCCCAACACTTCCAAAGAGAAAGAGGCTTAAATATGGAGATTATTTTTTGGCGTTCTCTGTCAAAAAACCATTCAATTCCTATTTTTTGAGGTGTACAAAATGTTTAGCTGAAATATTGTAAAAATCACATTTGTGATACTATACAAACAAAAACTTAGTTACATACAAGGAGTTCCTACAAAATAAGGAGGTGCTGTGGGGGAAGGAGGAACTTAACATAAACATTTCTTTGAGAACTATAATAAGTGGCTGCACCATAAACCAAATTTAACATAAGCCCTTTGATATTGGGAGAGAAATGAGAGCTAATGCAGAGATTAGCCCTGAAGATCCTTGACAGTAAAACCAGGCAAGTTTTTAAATGCATGAGAAAAAAAAAGTCACAACTGCGTTGACCTAAGCCAGAGAAAGAGATGATCAGAAAAATGAAACACAAGGTGACCAAAGCTTGGAAAGAGTTTCAGGTCAGAGAGGCAGCAGTTGAGAGAAAATGTAAAATCATGATGCAGTGCTACAAAAATACATTGAACCTACTGGGCATGAAATGGAGGACTTGATGCTAAAACCCATTTAATATTAAATACTTCAATAATTATGAGTATCCCCATGCTATGGGACAAGTGCTTCCAGTGCTAGATCTCAAGATTATTTTGTAAGAATCACACCAGCATCAACAGTAGTAACGAAAAGTGAACATGCATCATATTCTCCAGGCTGGATGGCAAGGACATTTGAGTTCAAAGTCCACCAGTCAGATGCAGTGGTCAAACTCTGCAACAGATTGCCCAGGGAGGTGGTGAGGTGTCCACCTATGGGGATGTTAAAAACCTGACTGGACCCAGTCCTAGTCAACTTGCTCGAACTGACCCTCCTCAAGCAGGGGAGTCAGACAAGACAATCTCAAGGTCCCTTCCAATCTAACCAATGCTGTAATACTCAGCATGCACAATAACACCCATTGTCATTATCCATACCAACTGAATGCTGCATTTGTTGGAAAGTAAATATATTTAATATAACATGCAAGTTAGTATCACTGCCTATGATCTGCTGGAAATTCTCCAAAAATATTGAAAGACACTTTTGGAATATATTTTGGAAACACTGGTTGTTCTTCCTAAATTAAACTTTTAAATCAACACACGAAGGTTAGAAGGAACAGAGATAGTAGATAAGCTAGCTCTTTACCTAGACATCTGCTTAGCTACTGATAGCTGTCTAATCTGTAACAGTAATCTAAAGAGGAAGAGGGTTTGACAGGAATTTCAAAGGAACTGCACTTAAATAGCACTCTATTTCAGAGTCTTTAAATGTTCTCTGAAAAGCTCAATCTTAGTTTCACACATGTGCATACACTGCAGGAAGACAGAAAAGCCCCTCCTCCCCTTTTTTTTTTATCATCATCATCATGAAGGATTTGACAACTCCATACATGAAGGTTTCAGTACCCCCCTCAAATAGAAAGTCTGGTCAGAACTGCATCAGCTGTCAAGCCTGTATGGCCAAAGAGGAGGAATGGATTCACTCTGCCATCTTTCCCTTGATTTCCCAGCATAACCACTGCTAACAAATACCCTGAACATATTATCCTCCTTCCTTCACAGCATATGTTGAAACTCAATACTTTGACATTTTCCAGCTGACTTCCTGATACAATCCCACACTCACTTTTTAATATACATTGACAGAATGTAATTTTTCCAGAGTTATAAACACAGACACTATGAGATGCATATTCCTTTTTTTTTTTTTTTTTAAACAGTGCACTACCTTTTCCCATATACTCCCCACTTCCAACCTTGTAAATCAAGTAAAGACACTGAATAAGTTTCCTGCGCTAGAAATCGTAAAGAACAAGATGGTTTATATAACTGTAAGCATTGCAGAGGAATGGTTCTCTTACCGAGATGATCTTTATACTATTTTGGTCTCACAACAAATTAGTGTTTTTGAAATTATTATTATTATTATTATTACTGAATAGCATTCCTTCCAAAATACCTCAGCTGTCAAACACTTAACTGCTAGATTGCCTAGAAGGCAGAAAAAAAAGAAACTAACCCCAATTTGACTTCATTATAAACACATTTTTTGCAACATTAAGCAAATTAACGATGTTTAAAGTACTTGATTTGTTGAAATAAAATTTAAAGCAAATCTTCTCAAAACCACAGTCTTGCCTTCTTTATAATTACCAAATCAAAGAGGGATTTGTATTTCAATATGTTAAACTGCAAAAGGTCATCAAGATTTGGAAGACAGCTCTTCTGAACAGACAATCTAAATAGCCTTAGAAGATCTTGCTGAGGCTTAATAACTAATTTATATAGGACATAAACAGCCAATGGCCCCAACTGTTGAATATTCTAGGTGATCATGTCATGTAATAATAATCTTTTTCTATATCACACATAGAGATGAGGTTCTACATTCTGCAAGTTATATTAAAAAAATAAAACAAAACCCCCAAACCCTTCGTTTTAGGGATATCCCTCCAGAAGCCACAGAAATAATCAAAGGATTAACCTCAGAAACACAGTGAAGTTGTGGTTTTGCCAAATACAGGACCCTAAAATGAACTTTCTCAATTGCATTGAAAAAAAAGAACGGGACTAAATCCTATTTAAGGTTTGGTCCATACCACTCCAATTTACCAAAAGGAAAGCAGAGATTTCAGATTTTACTCTCAGTTTACATGCTTTTAGGATTTAAACCTGTCTTTTCAGGCTTCCTGGCAGCACCTCATGCAGAACAGCCAGATACAGCAACATACATTAACGTAAACCATAACTCTTCTCAGGACCTGCACCGGCGCAGCTCCCGGCACCCCGTGCAGGCAAGGTCCAAGCAGCCATCCCTAGTGACTGGGGGAAGGAGAGAGTCTGGGTCTTAAATTCAATATGCAAATAAAGAAGGAGGTTTGATTTTTTTTATCCAGCATAGTTTAATAAGAAAAAAAAATAGAAATGTATCTTAAAGAGTAAAATTATGAAATATTAATTCCTTTGCATTTCACACTGCATTTTTTTTCTTGGCAATTTCACATCACGGACCCCAACTTTTGTGTGGCCACATGAGCCTACAAACACTTGCGCTAGAAAAAGGGAGGTGTCAGGTAACCAGGGAAACTGATTCTGGCAGGAACATCAGTCTATACCTACTAAAATTGACAGAGAAAATATGCTTTATGCTTTCTTTAAGCTATTGGAGTTACCTTACATAAAACTTAAACAAAAACTATATTCAGACCTCTGGATTTGGATTAATAACATCTGAATAGTTGCAAACTTGTCAACAGAAAAATTCAGACACCTTTTCAAAGTGAGAAGATGCCTTAGATTTTGGAAGGGAGAAGAAAACAAACTTCAGCCAAAAACTCAAAGAGCAAGTAAAAAGACTTGCTTCAATACATTTTTAGATACTTTGTCTGGCTCTACAATGATCAAATACTCACAACGGACAGCTGACTCCATGTTGATCTCAGGGGCTTATAGTGAAAAACAACCTTTTCATCTGATTTCTGCTCTCGGGGCTCAGACTCTTCATCAGAATCTATATCCAGAGCTTTTTCTTTATAGTTCTGATACAATACAGCATTTTCTATAAAACAACAACAGCATGTCATTAATTGCTAGAAAGTTAGCTTAGTTGCTTTCATAAAAATTATAAGTAATGCTTAAACAATAAAAGAAAGCAAAATGTCAATGTGCCGTTCACAAACTCCAAGAGACAAAGATAGCATCTTATTTAGGGTGGACAATGGTGCAGTACAGTAACAATGGATCACTGTACCACTACCAAAAAGATCCACACTGACTGAATTAAAGAACAGATGTGTCCTTTGTCAAGAAAAAACAGAAAACAATTTTCTCTTCCTTGGTTTGCTGTACAATGTTTCATAATTAGCCAGCAATTTAAAAATGGAACAAGCATGTCAGTAAAGCAGAGTCACTAATCTGGAGGTCTAGCTATTTTGATCTGCAAGACCATTAATGTCCACTTTCCATGCCAAGTTTTTTTCTGTCAGCTTTAAATACCATCTTCACACTTCACTAAGAGAAGGAAATGATCCAAATTTCAGAAATTTGAGGTCAGAAACATTCCAAATAGAAACTTCAAAGCTTGCTTGAACAAGCATGAGGCCTATGAACCTTAAAACAAAATACACTCGTTATGTATTTCAGTACTGCCAGTATTAGTTCAGTAATATCAATGGTAAAGAAACACAGGTGTGGAGCACACCCTTTCCATTTCCCAACCTCCTGGACCACACACCCATTTCAAAAGCAGACAGAAAAGGACAGAGAAATTCAAGACCAGAATAACCTACAGATGGATTAAGCAATTAAAAAAGCAAGCTCTAAAAGGTACTATTAGAGATGGGCCAGGCTTTGGACAATATCCAATTTTCCCCATGCAAGAGAAAGGGGAAAGAAGTAAAAGGTCTGGCAGCTCAACAGACAGTTAGAACTCCTGAGGTCTTACACAGGGCTGGATGGATCTGTTCCACCTGCTCGGACCTTACAGCCCTGGCTGAGTATTACACACAGTCCAGCCTTTTGTGTTTGTTCTTTGGAACATGTCTATAGAGTTCACACACTTTTAAGACAGGAAATAGTGTACAGTAACGGAATGCTCAGAGGCAGAAAAAGTTGTTAGTTGGGATCTGCCCAAGATAAAAGGGAGCCATTGGAAGAGACTCCAGAAAACATCATTAGGAGATATAGAGTGAGAAAAGCTGAAACTAAGATAGGGGGTGATGCAAATAGAAGAAAGTGGCAAGTTTTGAAAAGGCAAACAGGAGGAAAAGGAAGGTAATACCACAGCTGAGATGACCTTAAGGAGGCATTAAGCAGAGAAAAGCCAAGAGAGTAGCAGCTACTATAATAAAGCTTCCATGGACTCGTAGCCAGGAAATAATTTTTTTTCTGGTTGAAATATTGGGAAAAGAGCAAACTTGGCAAAGCCCAGAATTAATGAGTAACATGAAAGAGCAGATACATGGATAATGTTTCTCTGACACTTAAACTTGAAGCCTAAGTAAAGAAAAGAAAAGGATTACAAAGTCAAGGCATTCACCCCCATATCCTAGCCTTATGAGGAAAAGAGAGAAATAGGTGCATGAACCATAAGCTCAGAGAGTAACAATTCAGGCACTTGCTGCAGGTGATGACCCCAAGCCTGTGAGCTGATGCACAAAAGCCTCGTCTTGCACCTGGAAAGAGTCACAGTGAATAAGCAGGAAGGCAGTCACAGCTGGAGAAACAAGCCTCATCTATGTAATCCTACAGAACTTTTAGGGCTCAGATAGACACATGGATCAGTTCATCTTTTAGCAAGGCCAAGAGTTTAAGTTGAAAATAAGCCCTTCAAACAAAACCCCATTTTTAACCTGCCATACTATATTCTTTAAAGTATTCCCTAAAGTATGTCTAGTGCCAAAATTATGGTTCCATATTTTAGTCAGTGTACTGAAAAACAAGGTACTTAGTCTTTGACTGTGTATGAAATTGTGCAAAATGATCCTGAAACTCGTGTCTCTTGTGATTGAGCATATAACCAAGTCTGTACAGAAAAGAGCTTACCTTCCCCATCAAATGTTCCTTGTCCTTTCAGCATTTTCTTCTGATAATTTAAAGAGACACATACACATTAAAAGAAGTATGCAAAATAACCAACAGTAACAAGAACTTCTCTTTTATTTGATACTTAGGCTCCAAATTAACAGGCCCTAATCTATAAATTTCTGATGTTGGACAAGTACTCACAAAAACAATTGCTTCATGACAGAAAGTGAAAAGCTACTCTAGTTTTCCTTCTCTCATGCATTGTTTATACGTATTTGTCCCAAATGCTTCATTTTCCCTATGTTTCAAAAGCATACTATATTAGCTTTACAAGAGTTCAGTGAACTTGTAACTCATCCCACTGTCACTGGGTTTTTCTAGGAGGATGTAAGGTACATGACTGAGCGGCTGTTTCTAACCATGCACCCTGCAAAGAACAACCACAGTAAGTATTTTGTAAACTAGCGTTTTGAGACCAAAACAAACCTTTGAAATAAAACAGCTGCTTTGGTGCAACAAGTCCTATGGTCTAAGAAGTCTGTTTAAAAAACCACTACTAGAAAAAGAGTTTTGTGTGTAAAGAAAGGACAATGTCATGTCCTCCTATTTTAAACATAACCTACTGTTACAGTCTATTACCAAAACAAATACCACCTCCCTACTCAGAAGTAGTTCACATTTTGATCTATTACTATTTCACCACATTTTCACAAAAGCTTCCATAACCATAATATTTAATTTGGCCAAATACTGTCATATAGCTAATAATTATTTTAATAGCTACAGCTTTAGCCCTTAGCCTGAAGTACTTTATTAAACAATTGCAAACACTCTGCAGAAACTTACCAATATATTTTTTAAAAACTAATTATATTTAAAAAGAAGGAAATACAGGATTACAATATTGTATGTTCAAGTAAAAGAATATTTTCAGTATTTATAGTTTAGTTTTAATACATTAACATTCAATATAAATCTACTAATCCTAAGGGATTACAATCAAAAATTAAAACCAAGCATTCTACTTCTATTTGCAGGCATTACAGTTAAGGTACAAAAAGATACCTTAAGTGGCCTCTGAATTTAAAAATCACTGAGTTTTAAAAATACTTAAAAAGCAATGCCTCAGATAGAGGAGTAAGGGAGGAAGTTTCTTTTTCTGTCAGTCTATCTACTCTAGCAGGCAGACTTTATTTAGTCAATGTCTCTTTTTTTCCTGTTTATGCTTTTAAAACATCAATTTGATTGTGAAAGAAAATCTCCATGTGCTGGGGAATCCAGCAGGAAATGCAAGTGTGAGGCTGACATCCACACATTTTTGAGCTGCCCAGATTTCAATGGAGTTGTGTCCCTGAAGCCTCCGCCACTTTACTTTGAAAACAACACTTTTAAGTGATCTGCAAGACTCATCACTAACTTACGAAGTTTCATGGTAGCAAAAAGCAAAATGAAAAAAGCCCAGCATTTATGGAAAACACAGAGGTTGCGAATCACACTCCTGTGGTCTATTCCATTCAAACCAAGGCGTCACCAGTCAACAAAACTTACCTTTATCCTCCCCAGGCTCGAAAACTTCTCTTTATCTTCAACAACTGCTTTAAGTATGGGCTGGGACATTCTGTTTTTTTTCTTAAAATTAGCAGAGCCGTCCAAGTCCACGCCACTCACCACCGCCCTGCGGTATGATGTCGACCTCAAGCCTCGCCTCAGGGTCCCTGGGCTGTCCAGGTCGCCCTCGGCCTCCTCCTCAGCATCGGCGACCAAGGGCAAGCTGAGGCTCTCCACCATGCTCCGGACCTTCAGCACCCTCCTGTTGGTCTCTGCATTCTGGCTGTTGGCTTTGCCCTTCACCTTGCTTTCAGAAGCCAAGCTCTTGGGGATGATCTGCTGTGTGCCCACCTTGAGAGCGGCGGGGCTGTCGGTGCTCAGGACCACCGGCTGCTCCTGAGGGGACGCCGGCCTCTGAGGAGCTCCGCCTTGCTCTGGGGACATGGTGGGGGACACACCGAGGGGCCCCGGCGCCACTTTTTCTGCTGTTTTGGAAAGCCGGTTGCATTGCAGGGGCAGCGCGTTGGTGCTGGCGGGGGAGGGTGCCTCTCCCGTCGGTGAGGGCTGAGGGCTGGCTGTAAAAACAATCCGCTCCTGCCGCGGGGTAAGCGCTGACGGGCTGGAAATCCTCAGGGGACGGCCCAGCTGGCTCCCCGGCGAGGTAGTGGTGCCGTTGGCGGTAAAAACGACAGAACTGTTCGAAACCAGAGTCAGCACCGGGGAGGTCCGCTCAGGGGAGTCGGCCGTACCGGCTGGGGGCTGCGCCTTCCCGTTGGATACCGATCCCATGCTGGAATTGAAGAACGAGGGGCCCCTCCGGAGCGCCGCGCTGCCCGGGCAGGTGCTGACGGTGCCGGCGGGCTGAGTCACGGTGAAGGTGCACCTGTCCTCCACGGGAAAGTCGGTGAAGAGCACCCCGTTGGGGCTCTGGTACGATTGGGGCCGGGGTTTGCTCCAGCCGCGGGGCTGCGGCCGAGGGGTCGACCTCCTCTTCCAGCGCGGCGCCGCGCTGCCGTGGGAGAGATCCGCCTCGCCCTCCCCGTCCATCGCCCGCTCCTCGGGGCCGCCGCCACCTCAGGGCGGCGGCAGCTCCTCCTGCCCGCCGCCGCTCCTCGCCGCCGCCCGCTCCCTGCAGTTCGGCGAAGGGGAAGCAAACGGCACCGCTCCTCAGGCCGCGGCAGCCCCACCGGCGCGCCGGGCGCCGGGCCAGCGCGGGCCGGGCCGGGGAGGAAGGGAAGGGAGAGGCAGAAACACCCCCGGTTCCCACCCAGCCCGCGATTCCCGCCGGCGGG